TGCTGCTGAATAAACGTCTCTGTGCCTTTCAGAGTCATGGATACAGTTATATCGCTTTTACCATCTCTCGCCTTCGGCACAAGCCTGGTTTCCATGACATTTTCCTTCCCCACGAAGGACGACTGGAGGTGAAAGGATTTATTTCTCTGAAATGTGATTTATGGAGATTTAGGCACAACAATACGCGTTATGCCATTTAAAAACCGTGGGTTTTTAAACGGTATAACGCGTATTGTTAAAAAAAGGAAAAAAAGTCTTCTCCTGCCCTCCGCGCCCCTCCTGCTCCCTACTCCTGGCATTCTTCCCAAGCGATAGAGGAGAAACTTTATCTTCCAGTTTCCACGTACAAGGGCGGACTGTTCCTCCCCGTCCATTGCAGTACAAGATTAATTTATTGCTTTGCTTAGATCACGCACACAGACACACAGACGGACACACACACTGAGTTCATATACGTAACTCTTTTTTTTTTTTTCAAAGCAGATGCTCACTCCACGGCCTCATTAGGCATTTTACTGCAGAGCACCTGCTGGAGTAATTATTTTTCTGTGATTCTTTTTCTGGACATTTAGCCGTTATGTTCAGAGGGCAAATTCACGTTGTATTCACAAGCAAAAGGAACCAAAATTTTGCCTCCCGGAAGCTGCTTTTTGGGATATTGATTTTTAAGCTGTTTAGTAAGAAAAAAAGACTCAGAACCTTGGACCCTCCCCAAATTCAGATATGCAACTGTGCTTCAGAAAGGAAGTCTTAGAATGTTGCCTTAGCCTAATTTGAATTAAGTATGGTAACTAAGAGCACATCGGGAAGGTGCCTGTTAGCCAGATACCCACTGTGTCCCACTGTTTCGGAGTTGCCTAGCAACTGTAAACCACCCATCTCACTTCTGAAATCTAATACTCCTGAGCCTCATCTTTTCTCCTTTGTCCAAAATATCTTATCTACCCAATGTTGCCTCACTGTCTTTGGAAATTTCGTGCCTATGTGAATTCCCCGTGCACACTCATTAAGACATTTGATTTTCTCCTGTCTCTTTTCATTCGATTATTGGCCCAGCTAGAAGAACTTAGAAGGTGGGAGGAAAAGTATTAATTTTTTTTTTTAGCCCCCCACACAAGACTCTTAATAAGAAAGACCGTCAGGGTGAGAAGGGGTAAAAATGAATTTCACTTTGAGAGGGGGAAGATCAGATATTGCTCACGGGAGAGGCCAATTTAAGTGGAAGGTGTTAGCACATCTGAAAGAAGGACTTTTTATAGCAAAGACAGCTCCGAGGAAAGCGGACATACCCAGCGGACTGGCGACCAGTGTCGCATTATCTTCTTGGATGTTGCTGGGCAAGTTTCCCGACGGGAGTCACAGTGGGGACCATTCAGGGGGATGTGTCGTTCAGGGGCAGACACTGCAAAGCTGGGCATGGAAATGGCCTGTTCCAGCGCTTCTCAAAGGTGGTTGCCCATCACAATCATCAGGGGTCATCAGGGTGCATAAAAGGGTGGGCTCATCCTGAGAGATGCTAGGTTGGACAAGCTTACGTCGTCTGTTGTTTGTAAATGTGTCCTGGCTGGCTCTGACCAGTCCTGGACTTCACATCAGCGTTTGGGGGATGATTTGCCCAATTTTAATAGAAATAAAAGAAGTTTTAAGTGTTAGGCAAAGAAAAGGTTCTGTAACTTAGTAAACGTGACTTCTCCATTTTTTTTAAAGTCAACGAATTTGTATCTAAATGAAGACAAGATCAGAGAAGATCGATAGCATAGAAAATGATTTTTTGACTTTTTGTTTAAGGAGACTTCTGTTGAGCATCTGGCAAACGTTTTCCTGCCTCAGTTTATTCTTCCATGTCATCTTGGCCATGGACACTACGTCCAGTACCGTCTGTGCTTCAGTCCAATGACCCTGGTCAGAGCCAGTCACTGAGACTTGCTTGCCAAAGTAGTTTATGCAGATGGACGTTTGTCATTCACCTGAAGTGATGGGACCTCATGGCTTCTGTCTTTTCAGGTTGATCGGACTCGAAGAAACACTCATCTCCCATATCCTCCTCTTCAGAGAACCCCTGGTGAACAAGGCTGTATAACTCCATTCAGCAGGGGTGGGAAAGCCAAGAATTTCCCAAAGAATAGCCACTGCTCCTCCATCCCCTTTCATGAATAGTTATGCGAACTTTGTTAGTGTCACTCAGCTGGCAGGGTATTCCTTGACTGCCTTGTGTCTACCGTCCCTATTTTTATGGCAACATGCGAGCACCAGTTTGGGAGATCCTTCCCCACTAGCAGGACGAAGAACAAGACTGACAGAGGACCACCCTTCGAAGGTCTCAGCTTGCTTTGGAACCATAAACATACGACGATGTACAATATTTAAGGGGACACTTCTCAGGTAGGGTCTCAGAGGCTCCCTGTCGTGCCCTTACCAGCCTCGATCAAAGAGTCATCTTCTCAGCATGAAAGTAGATATCCGTGCATATGACCAGCTTGTTTGTGATTTACCTCCATCAGTGAGGGTTTCTGCTTCTCTGCTATATGGAGTAATGATTGCAAAGTGGTTCAGACTCTGTAAAGAATGATGGTTAAATTACAGGACATTTTCAGAGAGTAATAAAAAATAATATTTCTGTTAGCACTTACCAGGAACTAGATGCTCTACTAAGCCTTACCTCGTTTAATGCCCCAAACAACCGGGAGGCAGGTGCCATGATTATTGCCATTTTACAGATGAGTAAGACTGAGGCTTGGAGGCGTTAAGAAGCTTGCTTGAGGCTGGCGAAGGACAGAGCTAAGAGCAAACCAGGGCTGCTTGACTCTGAGTTCAGATTCTTAGAAAACATCTTTCCTACACTGCCTATTAGGAGCTTTTGACGTGACCTCTGCATGGTGATGGCATCGAGTTCCCAGGCAGGCTGGCTCATGTGGATTCCTGCTCATCTTAATAAGATCACCCATCCGTATCGGCACGACTGCTGTCGGGTGGGGGTGGAGCGAGAAGACGAGAGGGTAAAATTCTCTTGCTTTCCTGCATTTTTTATTTACCCATATAAAGAATCTATCAAATAGCGTGACCAGCCTTGCTGCCCGTGAAGTCATCACCCCAGGAAATCGACTTAAAGACTAAGTCCTGAAAATAGCACTGTTAGTGGTCATCGCCGTTAAGGGCTTTACCCCATTAGTTAGCTCGAGCCCTAATATGTCATGGATTTCTTTTTTTTTTTAGTTAAATATATTGGGGTGACACTGATTAATAACATAAGTTTTAGATGTACCATGCATCATCTGTACATTGCGTCGTGTGCTCACCACCCCAAATCCCGTCTCCCTCCTTCACCATACATCCGAGCCCCTTTCACCTCTTCACCAGATTTATTAATTAGCAGCCAAGGAAGGAGGAAAAGCTCCACAACTCAGCGATGTCAATCGAGTTGCTCTCAGAGGGCACGCTCTGTATATTTCGAAAAAAAATCTCATGCTGCCACCAGCAATTTCATGATCACCTAGGAAACTTCCAAACATCTTTAAAAGATGTTACTTCCTTGGAAGCGTCATTTCCACTAAAGAGACTGGAGGGCAAGGTGACCTTGTCTTCTTCAGAACTCCCTCCCATCCTTCCCTGTCTACTATTTACATTGCCAGGAGGGCTGTCTTCGCCTGGTCTCTGTTTCTCTGAAATGCCTTCTCGAATTTTAAACAATTTATTTTTGCTTCTCTGGAGAAGCAGCAATGCCTCAGGCTCAAGATAGTGTGATTCAGTTTCACTCGAAGCCTTCGAGGAGGACTCACCTTTCAGGATCCGTCCTCACCAGCTGGATTCACCACACTTGGGGCATCCGAGGTCAGTGAGGTCCAGCTGGAGCAGCCACTGCAGAGCGAGCGGGATGTGATGAGAGGACCTGGTTTTTGTCCTCAGGGAGATGACAATCTAATATGGAGGAAATGAAGAGTATACAAATAAAGACAACACAAGGGTAATTATAACGGATGTCTTGAGAAAGCTTTAAACCAAAGTGCTTTAAAAATCAAGAGGAGGAAATGCCATTTGCACACAAGCCGCGTCCTTCAGACGCATGGCAAGTCCTCTCCAGCACAGGGCTAAATACACTAGAACCCTAAACTCGGCCGGATTCTAGTTCTTTCCTATGAGTGATCATCTGTTGAAAAACCAAAGTCGCTTCACTTAACTGTAGGTATTTATCAGTACAGCTTGTCCTTTATTCAGCTCGTTTCTTTTCTGCGTTTGGCCAGGTGCTCCTGACCTCACCACATTGTCGAGGTCACGGTGGCCAGGGGGAAACAGACCACGGAGTGGCCATTTCTGAAGGGCCTGGAAGGGTGGATGCCAGCTCGCTCTGGATTCTGACGGGGGTGCCTGGATGTGACTCCCACTTACCTTGAATGGAGAGCTGACGCTTCTCCAGCAAGTTTTTTGATCACTCAGATAACTTCTAAACCTCGTAAAAAGTTATGTTATGTTCACAGCTGAGGCTGGAGGGTCTTTCTCCCCATCATCCAAGTCCCATCCTTCCTTCTATGAAGTTAGGAAGAACGGCTCTCAGGGGGCTTCCATGTCCCGCCCTGTGTTGTTTTCCTGTCCCTTCTCTGTGCCCTTTGCTGCTTGCCTCATCCACCCCCACCCAGCCTTAAGAGCAGGACTCATTCCTGGACTTTCTGCCCCACCTGTCTCTTCCAGCCATTTCTCCGGATTCATTCTCCATTGCTCCCCCTCATTGGTAAAAATCGAGGTATAACTTACTTGCCTTAAAGTGCACACATCTTATCTATGCAGCGTGATGAATTTTCAGTTATGTGTCCGCCCATGTAGTCACTGTCTAGATCAAAGTTAGAGCATTTCCAGCCCCCAAGAAAAGAAAGCTCCTGTATGACTCGCTCGGTCAGAACCCCACGAGGAATCGTTTGCTCTGATCTCTATCACCATGGATCAACTTTGCTTATTTTTGAACTTTATTGTTCTTTTTCGTTGAAGTGTAGTATTTTATTATAATAATATTTTAAAATCAATGTATCCATTCTACTGTTGGTGGACATTTAGGTGGTTCTTAGTTTGGGCTTATTCCAAATAAAGCTGCTATGAACATTCTTTTGCTGGACAGAAGAATTCTTGGGCATATGCCCAGGAGTGGATCATAGGGTATACATAAGTTTAGCTTCTGTAGGCATTGCCACACATTTCTCCAAAGTGATTGTACGTATTTACACACTCAACAGGAACATAGGAGTATTACAGTTGGCTCGTGTTCTCACCAACGCTAGGTACTTTCACGTTTTTAATTTTAGCCATTCTGGTGGCTCTGTCGTGATATTTCATCGTGCTTTCACCTGCATTTCTCAGATGACTAACGATGTCGAACACATTCATTTATTTCTTGGCCATTTTGACATCCTTCGAGCATGCCCGTTCACACCTCTTACCTGCTTTTTCATTGATTTGTCAGTTTATTTTTGAGTTGTAGTTGTTTAATTTTTCTTTAAAACTATTTCAGATATGCGCGTCCTATTGCTTTTTAAATAAAACCCCAAATCATCAAAATGCTCTGGAGGCACTGCCCGTCTTGTCCTATTCTCCCTCTTTCTTTGCTTTCTGTCCCCTCTGCCCTTCCCCCACATTCCTTCCTGCCTCAGAGCCTTTGCATTTGCTGTTTTCTTTGGTCCATTCTACCGTTGATAAACATTTATGTTCTTTTTCTAAACAACCAGTCTTCTCTTGTTACCCAGCCAACTCGTACTCATTCTCAAAGTCTCAGCTTCAACTTACTTCCTCCTAGACTAAGCTAAATCTTCCTGCTCTACGTTCTCATCCCACCTGTGCGTAATCTTCATATTACTTATTGCAAGTTTCGACAATCATTTATAAAATCCTCTGGTAGCTCTGCCTTCCCAGTTCTACGGGAAAATTCCAGAGAGTTAGGACGACATTTGTTTTGTTCTCTATTGTATGCACACCACTTAAAACAGGGCTAGGTATATAGAAATTGCTCTACAAATATTTTTGAAAAGATGCAAGAATGAGAACATGAACAAAGCAATAGCTGACATCAGCTCTCTCCGGCTCCACAGTTTGCGTTATTTATCTCTTTCGCCAAGAAGCCGGCATTGTCTCTGGAAACTGCACAAGGAGCAACATCTCTAGAATTATGCGTGGGTCAGAGCCTCTTTGATCCTGAGTGTGTGCTGGTGTGTGCTGTGATTGTGTGCTACCGGCAAAGTGTGAATGAGAGATGTGGCTGCAGTGGGAATAGGAGGAAAGAGATCAGGGAGAGGAGAGGAAAGAGAGAAAGAGAAAAATTGTAGATATAATCGAAAATCACAGAAGCCACCTCAGTTACTCCACAGTGATGGCTGTGTCTTATGACCATGAGGTCTGCAATAGAGAGCAAGGGGGAAATGACAGAACACCAGTTGCTCTTAGATAAAAATATAAATAACACCAAATTTTCTGACTATAATGGCTTGGGAATTCGAAGATATTCCAAGACTTTTAAGACATTCTCAGGCAGTGATGGGTCTTTGGGGGTTCAAATACAGTGCCGGACTGTTTCCAGCCAGATGGCCCTTTGAGTCCAATGGTGCTTTAAAATTGGGGGAAGTGGTTTTTCTGAGAGAGGGACAGTGTCCACAGCACAGTGTGCAGCACCCTGGTGCTTTGGTGTAATGTGGTTGAATTGCCAGAGCCCTAGACTGGCACTGTGCGTTTTGAGCAGAGACGGGACCTTGTGGTTCTGGGAACTTTAAGCTTCCGTGAGGAACCAGAGGCTCAGTCTGTGCATCAGGCATTAGACTCACAGACGCTGTGTCTCGCCGATGCACGCTGATTGCTACTTTTATGATCTGCATAGACTTTTTTTATTAATTTGTTAAAAAGTTCTTTAATGTCATCGATACTCTTCTAATTAGTAAATCTACATATATTAAAAGTATCACTGAATCCATTGCTTTCTGCCATTGAGATAGTTTTCAACATGAGGCCGTAAGAAATGTATGACGACATTCCTGTGGAAGGTGTTTTGGAAAATGTCTGGTGCTAACATCTGGTCTTTCGTATCAAACATCGCAGTTTGTTGAACCCGGAGAATGTTTAGGGCTCAAGATATGTTTGTGGGATGCTGAAGAGATGATGAGATAGTGCTCCTTGGGGACTTCGTGGTGAGATAAGGTCTCCTCACAGCTAGCGGAAGACTGTGGGGGATGCCCGGTCCCACGAGCCCCAGAGAGCCTGTTTCACACTTAAGGTTCTTTGTGGACAGTGGTTCCTGAGACACGATGCCCACCCTGGATGTGTCTGGATCTTCGTCATTAGGCTTTTTTTCCCCCCTTGGACAGTAAATTCTCCCCAAAAAATTTGAAGATTTTAGGCCTAAAATTGAAAATAAGATGATACCATCTTGTCGCGGTACAGAAGTTAGAGTTTAGGAGCAAATGTACTTCCTTTTTAGTGATTTCATTTGAAATGTTTGGAGAGTGATTTCTGCACAGGCGGCTTAACCTGTAGCTGCGTAGCAGCCTTGTCTCCATCCAGTTCCTGCTTTAAAAGGAGAAGCCCCCGGCCCTCCCTGTGGGCAGCTTCACCCACCTGAACTGCTCTCTACCCACTGTGAGTTCTCGCATCTCTGCTGGAAGC